TATATTGGGGTAAACAATTCCACAATCCGGCGGGCAGCTGCTGTAAAAGCACGGTCTCCTCTCAGTTTCCTGAATGTACGCGGTACCACCAGGAGGTTCGTTGATTCTGACCTCAAGGTTCTTTTTGGTTTATGTACAGTACCTGGATAAGATCCGCTATATAAGTAGGGGCAAGACCGTGTAATGCTTTGAAACAAAGTAAAAGTATTTTCAAATTTATCCTGTATGGCACTGGCAACCAATGTAGTTTTTGTAATACTGGAGTGATATGCTCGAATTTTCGAGTGCCTGTCAGGAGTCTAGCGGCTGCATTTTGTACCAGTTGTAATCTATGTAAACTTTTTTGTTGAACACCGTAGTACAATGCATTTTCATAGTCCAGTCTCGAGAAAATTAACGCATGAACCATTTTTTCCAGGTCTTTCTGTGCTACAAATGGCTTAATTTTAGCAACTAATCTTAGCTGGAAGAAACTCGTTTTAACTGCTAGATTGATCTGTTTATCGAATCTTAAAGCACTATCACAAGTTATACCTAGATTTTTTACTTGATGTTTCAGATAAGGGGATAGTGTACCCGATTCAATTTTAGCTAAGTCTGCAGACTCAGAAGGACCAAATAACATCACTTCCGTTTTAGATTCATTTAGAGACAGAAAATTCGCAGACACCCACTTTTTAATCTCCCCGAGACACTCTACCAGCCTACCAACAGCAGCAGGGACAGTTGGTTTTAGGGGTAGATATAACTGGGTGTCGTCTGCATAACAATGAAAGGAAATTTCATAACCTCTCATAATCTGACCAAATGGAAGCATGTAAAATGAGAAGAAGATTGGTGCCAAAATGGATCCTTGTGGAATGCCACAAGACAAAGGAGCAGATCTTGAAGTGCATTCACCCATTTGTACTGCAAAAGTTCTATTGAAAAAACAAGACTTAATCCAATTTAAAACATTTCCTCGAATACCTACATAATTTTTTAAGCGTGAAATTAAAATGTTATGGTCAATTGTGTCGAACGCTGTGTTTAAGTTAATAGTTAAGTAATTAAACGTGTGGCTGAGGGGCGCCTAAGGATGATCAAGTTTAATTGTTAAATATTCGGTGTTTAGCTGGTTAAGGATGAGTGCTACCAGAATGGTGTGTCGATTGGAACACAGGAATGGGTCCAGAAATTACTTCTCAGTTGATTTATTGCCATTTGCTTTCTTTCTTGGTTCTCCCATTTCTTTCATAATTTACTTTACAATTGCTGCATATTGCTGGTGTCTACAATCAAACAAAGGTAACTTTACTGATACAAATTACATAAATATATTCACATCACCATAAAGAAAATCTTTAAACAAATCAACAGTTATAAAATTAATATCAATACAGAAAGTTTAAATGAACTTACAAAGTCATAGATGCAGCAAACACATGCAACAAGCAGAGGAGCAAACAGTCAGCACAAAGAGAAACACACTAATGAGGGTGATTAGTAAGGTAATTATCCTCAGGTGAAGGAAGCTCAAGGAAGTGGGCGTGTCTCCCAATACAATGACTAATTGGGATTTCCAACATTAATAAACATTTTTCTTTTTGCTTCTCATTCTAACTCTGTGATTTCTCAATTAATGGGGAGTAGCAGAGAATCTGAAGTACGTCAAGGGCGACATTTCGAGTGCGCGCCCGCAAAGCAACCGCCTAGTTCGCCTATAGCAATCACCGGTAGGGCTGAACGATTTTGGAAAATAATCTAATTGCGATTTTTTTAACCAATATTGCGATTGCGATTTAATATGCGATTTAAAAAAAAAAGTTATTTACCTTCTGTGTTAGTCGACAAAGACAAGCAATAAATCATTGTACAGTAGGGATGGGAATCTTTAGATAGCTCATGATCCGATCTACTTTTTTTCTTATTAATTAATCTTAATAGCTCTTAAAATATGTATTTAATTACATGTGTAAAAACACATACTTTAAAAAATAAATATAAAAAAACATTTAATTAAACCAATTACATGTTAAGAATTTTAAATAGGCTATATAAAATAATATAGCTTCAAAATATAAAAGCTAGTAAATAAAGAGAAACAAAAAAAACATTACAAGCAATAAACAAAGAGTGGTCTCAGTATTTAAAAGTAGGCTGTCTGAATGTTTTTCATTCAAGAGCTGGAGTGATTTTCCCCTCAGTTTAGATACGATAAGCTGCATTCACACTAATGCATATATCTCTTTTGAAATTGTAAATGTGGTTTGTCCTGTTGGTTTAAGATATAACTGACCGTGTTTACATCAATTTCGCATCATAAAAGCATTTTGACATGCAAGTACATTTACCAATGAGTCGCTCACAGCCGCATGCACGAGCGCTCTTCACAAAGCACGCGTTAGTATTTTAAAATGAAAGCAGCCTTCTCAGTGATTTTCATGGTTTTAATATATAAGCCAACTGCATTCCAAAAGACATAAATAATGCCCCTGTGAAGCATTTGTAAAGAAAATAGTACCCACGGGAGAGAACACGCACTGCAACAGTGTAACGTTATAACATCAAGCAAAGTGGCAAAACCTGTTCAATGAAGCCCGCGAATGTCCTTGTAATTTGGTTCAACCCCGACCTTTATAAAATAACGTTACTACACTCTAAAAAATGCTGGGTTATTTTAACCCAATTTTGGGTAAAATATGGACAAACCCAGCCATTGGGTTACATTTTTAAATGACATTTTTTACCCAATGGCTGGGTTTGTCCATATTTTACCACCAAAATTGGGTTAAAACAACCCAGCATTTTTTAGAGTGTATGTTTTGGAAGGTTCGAGCGGTGTCGTGTGTGTGAGTGAGGAAGAGAGAGAGCGAGAAAATAGAAGCAAGCAGATTCAGAACACGGTTTGTTTCTGAAGCACGCGCAGCGTCATCACGCATCTGTGTTTAAAAACTAAGCTCATACTCGATTCTGAAATTCTCTGAATCGATCCAGGATTGTTGAGGAGAGAATAAATAACACAATAATCTGTTCTTTTCTGGACGCCAGACCGCGTAGCGTGGCAAGTTGATGCTTTATCTTGCAGACTGCTTTTCTCTCGCGTGTCAAGTGACCAGTGTAATCGCAGCTCTTGCGATTACAAAATCGCGTTTCATCATATCGCGATTTTATCGCAAATGCAATTAATCGTTCAGCCCTAATCACCGGCCCTGTTTTTACCCAATGATTTGCCCATGGTGCAAACACCGTACCCCCGATCGCAAAAGAAAAGTCACAGCACACCTCTCATCAATAATCCACACAATTTGACACCTCACTCAGGGGTCTGTGATGTCGTCGTGTATTAACAGATAATTACTATGGAGTTTTTATAGAGTTATTTAGTACAGTTGCTAGGGTGCTGTAACTGGTTGCTATGGTGTGGCTATTAAGATTTTAGGCCATTGCTTATTGGCTGCTTGATAAAATAAATCCTCTGAGGGAGAGAGAGAGGGCCTGACAGCCCCTTTTGTGTCTCTGTGTGTGAAAGTGACAGTTTGGATTTGAAAGTCCCAGGCAGTTGGAGTTGATGGTGGTGTTGTCCTCGATGACTCCCATGGTGAGGGAGGATCCCCAAACCCACAAGGTATTATTAATTAACTCAATTGAAAGGTGATCAACCCTCAACAGCAGCATCTTCACTCACCTAAATGATTATTTGGAACACCTGTTCAATTTCTCATTAATGCAATTATCTAATCAACCGATCACATGGCAGTTGCTTCAATGCACTAAGGGTTGAGGTCCTGGTCAAGACAATCTCCTGAACTCCAAACTGAATGTCAGAATGGGAAAGAAAGGTGATTTAAGCAATTTTGAGCGTGGCATGGTTGTTGGTGCCAGACGGGCCAGTCTGAGTATTTCACAATCTGCTCAGCTACTGTGATTTTCACGCACAAACATTTCAAGGGTTTACAAAGAATGGTGTGAAAAGGGAAAAACATCCAGTATGCGGCAGTCCTGTGGACGAAAATGCCTTGTTGATGCTAGAGGTCAAGAGAATGGGCCGTCTGATTCAAGCTGATAGAAGAGCAACTTTGACAGAAATAACCATTCGTTACAACCTAGGTATGCAGCAAAGTATTTGTGATGCCACAACATGCACAACCTAGAGACGGATGGGCTACAGCAGAAGACCCCACCGGTACCACTCATCTCCACTACAAATAGGAAAAAGAGGCTACAATTTGCAAGAGCTCACCAAAATTGGACAGTTGAAGACTGGAAAAATGTTGCCTGGTCAGATGAGTCTTGATTTCTGTTGAGACATTCAGAGGGTAGAGTCAGAATTTGGCATAAACAGAATGAGAACATGGATCCATTATGCCTTGTTACCACTTGGCACACTTTAGGCCACCGTTTTAAATGCCACGGCATACCTGAGCATTGTTTCTGACCATATCCATCCCTTTTATGGCCACCATGTACCCATCCTCTGATCGCTACTTCCAGCAGGATAATGCACCATGTCACAAAGCTTGAATCATTTCAAATTGATTTAATGAACATGAAAATGAGTTCACTGTACTAAAATGGCCCCCACAGTCACCAGATCTCAACCCAATAGAGCATCTTTAGGATGTGGTGGAATGGGAGCTTCGTGGATGTGCATCCCACAAATCTCCATCAACTGCAAGATGCTATCCTATCAATTTGGGCCAACATTTCTAAAGAATGTCACATAGAATTAAGGCAGTTATGAAGGCGAAAGGGGGTCAAACACAGTATTAGTATGGTGTTCCTAATAATCCTTTAGGTGAGCATATACGATGATTTACAACTACTAAATACAGAGAAACTATTAGATTTCCAACATAGTCAAAGAACTGAACAAAACAGGGACCATAAATACACAGTAGCAAACAAGGGAACTAATCCGAGACAGGTGTAACTAATCAGTAATCAAGGAAACTAACAGGGGAATAATCAAGACTAAATGGAAAGGAAATGCAAGAAACAAATGACAATTACACCAAACATAATCCTGACAAAAGGTGTTTATTTAAAAATCTATTAGTTGAAATATTAATCTATCATTACAATGTACTGACTACGTTATTAATCTTTACTGATATCATTATTTGGTTAGTAACATGTGTCTCTTTTTTCTTCCTGAGACTTGTTTATTATGATATTTGATACTTAAACTACTATAGATAAATTACCTGTGTCAAAGGCTTCATTTATCAAAGACAAGGGCATCATTCATAAAAAAACTGAAAATGATAATAATCATCTGAGTCTAGCAAAACCTTAGTAGACTTCACATGATTTTTTTCTGTAGATCTGTAGATTTTTGTTCTTCTGTACTACTGTGAAGATCCCACATACTGGAGTGTGTTCTTTGGTTTTCATGCCAACTGCGTCTGCTGAAGCCAAAGCAATACATTATTTGTAAATAAAACATTTGTAATACCAACATGTAAGTACATTTTGAAAGCAATTGCTTAATGTTCTTGGGCTTACACACCTATGCACACCAAGAACGATAACTATAACAATAACTATATTTGTGTCCACACCAACGAATGATAATGGTCTGTTTATTCTAAGTGTGGGGAAATCTAGAATATATATAAATAGATGAAGGAATATAATTGTGAGTTAAGAGCTAGACCCCCCTCCTCCCCCAAATAATAGTTTTTTGTCATTTCAGTTCTTTTATTAATAATGGTTATTTAATAATTCAGTACATGCACATATATTTGTAGTATACAGCAATGTGATGTGTCTCCAGTGGGTGGCAGTAAGCCAGAGGAAAAACCTAGAAGAGAAAACGAGTTAGTTCACGCAAGGTTTAACGGGACTTGGAGTATTGAATTGTGTTGTATACAGTGTGGTACGGAGCTGTTTTAAAAGGACGTTGGCTGAATAAAAGAACCCTAACCGAATTACACGCTTGTTATTTCCTTCAAGTGTGGTACAAGTTCATGCACTGCGGTGTCAAAGTGTGTAAAACGACATTGAACGTAAAATACACATTCACTCTCTGACAGCAGGTGGCGCTGACAACAAGCTGTTAACAAAGTAGGTTGCCATTTTCTGTTTCTGAACAGTATTTTAAAGTTTTAAGCAGCCATTCAGATATTTGTATTCCCAATAGTGTTCATCACTGGACCAAATACTTAAATATTTCATAGGCCATTTTTTCAAAGTTAAACATTTATATTTTAATCTGGACTACAACATGCCCTGGTTATTGATTGAAAATGTTCAGATTCTTTATTTATTGTTTGTTAACATTATAATAAGGTACTATAGGGGATTATCACGGATTATCCGGGTTTCATGGGCGGGATTTGTCAACTTTGTGCATGTAGTATTCACTAGAGCGCAGAATAGCGGAGTTTGTATGGACAGAAGTGCATGCCTCAGCTTGTATTTTGGGTTAAGCTCCATTGTGGAAAATAGAATAATAGAAACAAAATGGATTATCCCTTTTACATGTTTTTTACCCTTATTATCAATCTAAATCAATCTACAGCGAAATATAGGAGACTTTTAAGATTTTACTGCGACGTCACGTCACGTGCCCCAAACCGCCCATGAGTTGAACGTCATAACCGTCACGAAAGACCATTCACCATTCAGCGAAAAGACAACAATGCCGAGGACTTCATCTGTGTGGGAGAACTTTAAATTAAGTGAGGAAGACAAGACAAAGGCAGTGTGTCAAATATGCAATTTGAAACTGGCCTACCACAACAGCACATCAAGCTTGAGAAATCACCTGAGTTCCATAAGTAGACCACGAGCTGCTTTTATCTGCCATCACTAATTTTACACGTGGTAAAAAACGTGCGCTTAATTTTCTTGGAAAATAACGATAATAACAGCTGTCTATAGGTACATCCCCAGGTATGGCGTTCGCAGCCATCAACATCCTCAACTACACAAAAAAGGTCACAGCAGTTCCTACAATTCCGAAAACCAATAACAGAGAAAATAAAGAGAGAAATAACAGAAGCCATAGTGGAGTTCATCGCTATAGATATGAGACCCATTAATGTAGTTGAAGGCGAAGGCTTCAGAAAATTAATTAAGATGGAGCCCGACTACACTGTCCGAAACCGCTCCAGTATTTCAAAGCTTGGAGACGCCACTGACGCATTCGCCATTCCAAATTATAAGCGAGTAGCCGTTGTTCACGACAATGCCAGCAATATGAAGCTGTGCACCTGTAACGGTCACCAGGTGGAGTGCCCTTGAGAGTCACTAGAGGGCACTCCACACCAGATGTTCATGTTTCACTCAACTACATTTCCCAGAACTCACTGCCCTGACTCATCAATGATCACATTCACCTGTACCTCATTCACTGATTGCATTCACCTGTGTCTCATCCTGTTAGTGTGTCTATATATACCTTGTGTTCACATTCAGTGTTTGCGAAGTCTTGTTTAAGTGTTACACAAGGTATATATAGACACACTAACAGGATGAGACACAGGTGAATGCAATCAGTGAATGAGGTACAGGTGAATGTGATCATTGATGAGTCCGGGCAGTGAGTTCTGGGAAATGTAGTTGAGTGAAACATGAACATCTGGTGTGGAGTGCCCTCTAGTGACTCTCAAGGGCACTCCACCTGGTGACCGTTACAGCACCGAGATGCTGAAGAAAGAACCTGAGAAATGGGACAACGTTCAAGGGGTGTGCTGCTCAGGACACACGCTACAGCTGTGCATAAATACAGCTCTAAAACAGGACCGAATACGTCACACAGTTGTGGCTGCCAGGAATCTCATGGGACACTTCAAAAAAAGTGCAAAGGCAACAGCTGCTTTCAAAGAGAAAAAAACGCAGCAGAACGTTGTAGCACACAAACTAATTCAAGATGTCGCTGCTCGTTGGAACTCTACGTGTGAAATGCTTAACCAACTGGTGAAGCAACGATGTCCAGTGACAGCTGTTTTGTCAGATCCCAGCATCACGAAGAAAAGAGATCGCAACCTTGACTTGACAGCAGACCAGTGGAAACTGGCACAGGAGACAGCAGAAGTACTGGGGCCCCTAATCACACTTACAGAACTACTTTCACAGGAGGCAAACTTATATCGTTGTCTGCAACAGTGCCAAAGCTCTTCAACCTGAAGAAATGCCATCTGTCACCGGAGGAGGATGACAGCCCTGTCTTCAGAGAAATGAAGAAGACACTCGTCATGGAGATTGACAGCAGATGGCAACTGTTAAGTCTGGAACCTGGCAGTATCTACCTCCTTTCTTCAGCACTGGACCAGCGATTCAAGCACCTGAAATTTCTTGAGAACGAGAAAAAGGACCTGGTTTACATTGATGTTAGACTGATCTTAATGTTTTATATTTAAATTAGTAAATAACAAAAATGTGAGTTTAGATGCAATCTATTTAAATGTAATTTAATATTATTATTATTGCAACACTAGGCTACTTTATCTTGTACACAACAACGAATAGATATGACTAAGAAAATGCTATCGCATTTTAAGGTTGTCCGCCTGGCTGAACATCTGCACCAGCAACAGATCATTCCGGAGATGGAAGAGCTGTCAGCAAGCCATGGAGAAGAGGAGACTGCCGCCGCCTCCGCACCACCAACACCAAAAAAAAAACAGCAGGAGATTTCATTGCTGATGCAGTCCGATGATGACGAGGAGGAAGAAGAACACGGAGACAGCGCAAAGAAAGAGATGGAGCAATATTTGAAAGACACTACCAAAGTACAGTCGGGCCCACTTGCATGGTGGAAACAAAACAGTGACCGCTACCCTAAACTGGCATTTGCAGCCAAACACTTCATTTGCGTTCCGGCCAATTTAACTCCATCAGAGCGGATTTTCTCAAAAGCTGGCTACGTAGTTAATAAGACCCGAAGTTCCCTTTTACCGGAAAATGTGGACAAACTCATCTTCCTCGCACACAACATGAAGAGAGTGTAGGTAGAATGCAACCTGTCCTGATTGTGATTTACTTAAAAGGTAATATATAAATTACCTCTATATAAGGAAATTTATTTTATTTTAAACTAAAAAAATATACCCTACTTCGTCAGTGATTTGTTAGTGAGAAAAATCTTAGACTACCTTAATAAAAATATTGCTTAAGTTAACAGTCCTGTGTGTGTGTGTGTGTGAGAGAGAGAGAGAAAGTGTGTGTGTGTTTTATATCACAAGTGCAGTGTCCGTTCTCCATGCATATCTTGCAGGAGGCGCGCCGCTTCCCACTGGCGCTGTTCTGTAGTTTATTAAAAATTCTGAATGTGTCGCGTCTCGCCTGTCTAGCTATATTGCACCAAATACGACACTGCCCAGATAGCAAACTGACATTGAATCAACGTGGAAATATGACATAGAAACAACGTTGATCTGACATTGTTTTGCTCATCGAATTAACGTTGAACCAACGTCAGACGCGTCATTCTTTCAAAACTAACGGAAAATCAACTTGAAATCAACGCGTTGTTTCAACGTTATGAAAGCAAACCAATTTTCGATTTTCATTTAGCTTTGAAGAATGCCGCGTCTGACGTTGGTTCAACGTTAATTCGATGAGCAAATCAACGTTGTTTCAATGTCATGAGAGACGTCGTTTCCACGTTGATTCAATGTCGGTTTGCTGTCTGGGTGTACTCCCCTGTGAAGTCGTTTGGATGAACGGTTTCTGGAAATAATCAAAATGCAAACAGACAGACAGCCTAAAGAGATTGTGCAGCTTCAAAAATTTAAATATAAATTATACAAATTGATTTTTTCGAAGCTTCGAATATTCAATGTTCATTACTACCGAAGCTTCGAAGCTCAAAAATGATATTCGGACCAGCCCTACTACTAATACTGCTAGTTGACATCTTACAAACTGAGTCTACTATCTGGTTAGTAGAAAGTTGACTATCATATATTAACTGTTACCGTTCTTGGCTCTTAGAATGTATAGTAAACACCTTGACAGTTAAAACATTTTTACATTCATAGAAATGTAGAGAGTTAACATGAAACCTGATTCTTGTTCATGCACGTCCCACAGAGGCATCCGATCAGTCCGTTGACTACCTGTGCCAGTAAAAGCACAGCCTCCAGGGTACTGATGCTCAACAGAATTGAAAACAGGACCACGTTCCACAGCACCACGTTCTGCGGTCTCTCGCACTCTGTCCATGATGTTTGGTTAAACAGGTAACTCTCTCTGAACAGAGGAAAGCAAAGGGGAAAAAGTTGTCAAAGCTAAGTATCCTAAAAGGCCTCTTCTAACTGCATAAGGCCTGTGTTTTCCCATATTCATGCAGGAGTGATGACAGATTGCTGCAATAAAGCAATTTCCATTCGGAATCCTAATAAACTAAAACAGTGCGCATCAGTTAAAATGAAGTTTTATTTTCATGCACTTTTAGTTTGTTTTTCTCTGTCACTTGTCCTCCTTTGTCTTAACTTCCTGGCAATCATTAGTTTCTAAGGACACAGAGGAATCGTCACAGCTGCTTATAATTTAGTTAATTCTCTCTGTGTATTTCCTCCTTGTTCACTTTTAAGTTGTCAGTTGTTGTTTGTGTTTAAAGGAACACTCCAAGTTTTTGGGGCTTTAGCTTATTCGCCATATCCCCCAGAGTTACATAGGTCCATACATACCTTTTTCATCTTGTGCGTGCTGTAACTCTAATACAGCACGCACAAGTGCGTGCTGTCCCGCATTTTACATACTGTTTGCCATGCTGGGCACAAGCTAACAAGTCTACAATTAAGTCACTAGAAAGTCTTTATAAACGTACTCTTAAAGTTTTAGTTCGGAAACCTAATAGTTTTCATACCTGTCAAATTTTAAATACCCATAGACTTCTGAGTTGGGAAAATTTAATCACTTACAGTAACCTTTGTCTAGTCTATAAGATATTGCATAGCACGGCTCCACCTCCACTGAAGACATTTGTTATGCAGAGAGCAGGTAGTCATGTCACCAGAGGTGTCACAAGAGGGGACTGCATCATTCCCACTCGAAAAAGTGCCTTTAGTCAGTCAGCGTTCTCTGTAACTGCAACTAAACAGTGGAACCAATTGCCAAGTCTGATAAGAGATACAAAAACTTATTGTTCCTTTACTGGTCAGCTTAAGAACTGGCTAATTGATAATCAGATATGTGCACATTAAACCACTGACTGCCTACTGAAAATTATGGCTTGCTGGCAGATTGTCTTGTGTGATTCGTTACTTATTGTTGTGTGTCGTTTTTGTCTTTTTATTACTTTTAATGTTGTTATTATTTGTGGACTGTAAAAGTCATTTCTTGCTTTATATTTTGTTTTTAGGTTGCCATCATAATAACTGGCCAGGGACAACAGATGCAAATTAGCCTGTTGAGCTAACTCTGGCTCATTTACAGTTATTTTACTGTCAATTAATGAGCACTGTCCCTGTAAAATAAATAAATAAATGAAATGAAATGAAATGAAATAAGCTAAAGTCCCAAAAAGTCGGAGTGTTCCTTTAAGCTTGTGCTAGACAAGTCTAGACACAAGGCTAGACAAATAACCGCTGCAGTGACCCCCATTCTTAAAAAAACAGGCCTTGACCATCTAAACATGGACAACTACAGACTAATAGACAAATATCCAATTTAACATTCTTAAGCAAAATCATTGAAAAGGTTGTTGCTTCGCAATTGCAATCTTATTTGGATATAAATGGTCTTTTTGAACCTTTTCAGTCAGGTTTTCGCCCATCTCACAGCACTGAAACTGCTCTTCTGCGTGTGGGTAACGACATTCTTTTGTCCATCGATTTATGGTTGATAAAGATTCTCCAACATTACGGAATTCATTACCCCTTACACTTCGAAATATCTCATCTGTGGCTATTAGGGCTGTCAACTTTAGTCGTTTTTAGTCGACTTAACGGTCGATGCCCTCTTGGTCGACTGACATTCTTATTGGTCGACCAGTTGCATTTATTGTTTTTATTTTTTTTATTTTACCAATAGAAAGAATTTTTTTTAATGATTTACTCTTTTATATTTATTCCTTTTATAAGCAGTTATATATTACTGTATTATAAATATAATTAGCCTATGTTTTATCCCCAATTTTAAATGCTTTAATTTAGACTATTTTGTAACAGCGCCACAGTTTAGCGTAACACATAGAATATTTGGGAACCGCACCTGTGGCTGGCTGCGCTGGTGCTTCGTGCTCAGTAAGAGATATAGATTGTTTAGCTGTATTCATTCAGTTAGAACGCTACTTGTTTTGGTTTTCGACAAAATGTCCAAGAAACCTAAATCTTTTGTCTGGCTGCATTTTTACAAAAAAAAAAAAAAAGACGACAAGACTGTGGAGTACAAGCTATGCGGCCTAAAGCTTACCATAGCTTAACGACCAATATGGCATTCTGAACACAAACACATCTTAATTTTTTTCCCAGTTTTCTTTTCAAGAAAAGCCATTAGCAAAATTAACACTAGAGACTGCTTTTGTTTGCTATCCACATGTCATTTCTATGCCACCTGTAAATGCAGTTCACAGAACGTGTCACGAACTGATGATGTAAAACTCTGGATGAATCTTCTTGCGTGCGTCCGTTTTTAACGTCTTGAGTATTACTGCCGTACAGTCTGACATTAACGAAAAATGAGATCTGACAGTAGCCGCATTTCCTTAACAGATTTACACAAAACTTTCGCAATATTTTCTAAATATCGCCAAAAACGATTCCATTAACCGATGTTATGTGACTGAAAGGTAATTTTTTCCTCTCGACATAAGGCAATCCAAACATCATGCTGACGGATGTTGATAGGTTTACATATATCGCAGCCACTGCATTAGCTATTGTTGTTAATGGAAGGAGACGTAGGCGTAATATCCAGCAATAATGGCAAGGATAGACCCTTATACTTGTGAGCGGCACATGAAGTGTTTCTGGGTGTATCTCCCTCATTTCTGCTACAAGGTCTTGATAAATTGTGGCATTTTTTTTTGTTGTTGTTGTTTAGAATCCAGTCTTCTCATAAATCTTTTGTCTTTTATGCATTTAATTAAGAAATCTGTCTCATCTTTTGTCCAACCATACCGTGCCGACTTTAAAGAATGATGGTCTTTAAGTGGTGATTTGTAAATGTGAAAAAATTTCAATTCCATTAAAATATATCTTTTCAAATTGCCTGAAAACCACCTTGTGCAAGCATAAAAACTTTGTTTTACGATAAATGGGAGTTTCGGCAAAATTCATGTCTTTCCATTGGGTGTATTTTAAATTTGTAAACAACTGTCGTAAAGGACTGTTATAAATTGTATAGTGTGCACCTGGATTTACTCGCCAGTTGTCCAATAACTTTTTATGAATACTGAACTGCTGTCTCCCCTGCGCTGTGACTCATGGTGTGCTTGTTCTATATGGGGCACTATGTTGTATTTGTGTCATTGTTTTTAAATGTTACCCTATAATGGGCAAATATATTAATCTATGAAAATGCCAATGTAAAAAATGATGTGAAAACAGTTGTAGCGACAATGACCTTGTCCTGCACTGCATTTATCCCTTTATTTGTCACAGTTCTGATGCTAAAACAAATTTGAATTCAATAGGGGTACATATATGGAAGAAAGAGGTCACACTTTGCATAGACAGTTTATTTTACAACATTGTAAAATAAACTGTTTATGCAAAGTGCGACCTCTTTCTTCCATATATATATATATATATATATATACTCTAATTATTAGGCCAGCACTCTTAAAAGAAATTTAAACTATTGAGTGAAGCCTGCTCCAACCTCCATTAATTCACTAGGGGTGTAACGATACACGTATTCATATTGAACCGTTCGCTACGAGGTTTTCGGTACGCATTTTTGAACCGAACAGTTCGTTGGACCATTTTTCCAGCCGACCAAAATTTAGCAATTTCAAATGTAGGTGCGTCGCGTGTGGAAAGCATGCTCATAATGTAAGAGATGCTGGCGTGACTACTTGCCCAACATCAAATGGCAAATGTAATGTAAGCGGAACGAAACTGAGCTACTCGCTATTGTGTGGTTGACGGACAGTATATCAGTTTGGACCAATGCGGCGCGAGCCGATCTTAATCATCAGCACTGTTACTACACAGCCAAATCCATTAAAGAAAACATTTGAATTCGCCACTGAAGTTATAACATCTCTGCGAGATCTAGAGTGAAACATTCACATTTCTCCGTTATTAACTGATCAAACAGAGCTGACGTGGAAACCAGGAAGAAACATTGTGCCATGAATTAACTATCCAGTGTCCACAGATCAGCAACATTCACCATGGATTTACTGTAGTAACACTAACTGTTACCATGGATGTTTGGCAGGAATTGTAGGGTATAATGCTTTCAATTAACATCACGTCGGTTTATTTAGACATTATGAACACAATTGCTGCCCTCAAATGTTCATGAACTAAAATAAACTTTTGTTTATTAGGCTATAGTATAGCTCCATCATTGCTCAAAGTTAAAAAAATATCATACTTTATGACGTTAATTTTAATAAAAAATTAAATAAAAAAATTAAATCAAGAAAATTATCTGCCATGTATTGTATTAGAAACGTACTGAACCGTATCGAACCGAACCATGACACAAGTGTATCATATCGAACTGAACCATGAATTTTGTGAACCGTTACACCCCTATAATTCACAAGTTTGAATGTCCACATACAATCCTGACATACGCACAACCGGCGCTGCGTCATAGAACGCCCACTTTTGGGGGAAAACAAACTAAACTCCCCATAGACTTCAATACAAAATAACGGCACAAACCAACGTCCGTACACAGCCGAGAGACGTAAATAACTTAAGAAATCACTTATATAAAACATGTCAAGTAATTATGTCCACCCTGCCTGCCAAAGAGCCTGAAAGATACATAGGCTACACAAACTTAATTTGGCCAATTTAAAAACATGTCCCTTTATTCTCCCAGCGTCAAATTGGTGTACTGCTAACAACCCCATCCAGTGGCCAGAGGTGTCTTACCCGGACATTTAATTGTGCCTCATTGAGTCACCAGGTAAGCCAGTGAATGATTTTATTTCGTTTTTAAAGTAAAGAACCTATATATTATGAATTTATGATGATGATGGCAGGTAGTCTGGGCTAGTTGATGGGCTTAAAAAATGTATCTTTCAGGCTCTTTGGCAGGCAGGATGGACATATAATTACTTGACATGTTTTATATAAGTGATTTCTTAAGTTATTTACGCCTGTCGGCTGTGAATGGACGTTGGTTTTTGCCGTTATTTTGTATTGAAGTCTATGGGGAGTCTAGTTTGTTTCCCCCAAAAGGGGGCGGGGACAAAATTGACAGTTAAGTTCCTGGATGTGCCGGTTGTGCGTATGGTCAAAAATTGTTTGCTTCCCTCATTAGTTACACCTGACTTCACTTGCTCTCTGTCTACCTATGTACCTATTAAACCCGCACTCCACCCAGTGTCCAACTGTGGAACTACAACACAATATAAACAGAGCGCAAACAAAGCATGTTGTAGAGTAACAGAACCAGCAGAAAATGAAATTACTTTTTTGTATGTCATTTTCATTGTATGTATGTACTTTATAAACAAAAAATGAAATATGTGTGTTTTTCACGTTACTCTGTAGTCCAGTTTAAGAATGGGTAGATAAAGATCCCGTCTCCCGTGTCACACAGCGGGCCGTCCTGCAGGCCGACGGCAGAGACAATCATGCAGTACAGCGCTCCAGCGGCACCCAGCACAGACATCAGCATGGACACCATCATCTGCACCACACACACAAACCACTGGGGTCAGCTTCTCTCACAGGCGGCGCTCTTTGCCAGGGACAAATGTAGCCTACTTGGTCATTTGAAATGCTGTGTCTGATTTTGTTTTTACGATATGTTTTATGAAATTACTGTTCACAAATAAATGTTGAAAGAAATGGCATCTCTTGGTACATGTGAGGATATATTCAAGAACTTTTTTCTGATAAATACAAAGAATGAATAAAGCTTAATTTTGTCCATTGTTTGTCCAAGAATCGAAGCATATATTCTTCACCTATCTCAATCATAGGTGTCACATACAACAATTAGTTTATTACCAATAACAAAGCTTTTAAGATTTTATCCTTGATTTTAACTGGTCATTCACAAAATATTTCTGTCTTCCAGTGCTTTCTAACTGTCTGCTTATGCAGAAAACCTTTCTTTCTTTCATTCATTGCTGTGCTTGTGATTTATTCTTCCACCATCTCTATTAGTAATTTAAACCCAAATCAATCTATTTGTTATTGGATTAAATGACCGACTCTATGTTGTCCGTTATGTAATTCTAAACAGATAATTAGAACCACATGCTTCTACTGCAAAAGGGTTGCAAGTTGTGTGACATAATAGTTTGCCACTTATATTACAAGTGAACTTTATAGGCTACACAATTTTGAATAAAGATTTAGCAAGTGCACACCTCATCAGAGATATGAACTCGGTGTTCACAAGCAGTGAGCTTTACTCACCCCACATCTGTTTGCACAGCAGCTCCCCTCGTGCCCTGCAGCCTTCATCACTGAAGCAGGCAAAAACGCCTGCAACACGGACACAAAACACAGAAATCGACTCTAGAATAGAGGACACAAATGGACGCTGGTATCTCTTTCTCTCAGATACCCTAAAGCTTCAGACTCACCAACAGTCCTCCCCCGATGACCCCGGGAAAGAACCAGATCTTTTCTGTGATTTCCTCGGTCCTCCACACCTCACCATTGGGAAAAAACAGCAAGATGTTTCCAACTATGGCCAAGAGGCCGAGTGGAAAGAGAAGGTCTCCGGTGCATTTGGCACACTTGCCCGTACACATGATGACCTGATTTGAATTTGTTGCTTAATCGAGGTAAAGATAATTTTCTTGTATTAAAATATTGAACCAGAAGAGACTGAGAGTATTCTGTTAAATACACTTTATGAATAATGAGCAATATTCCTATTTGTATAACTGCAGTGTCCAGGATCATACAATAATGGAAAAGAATAAAAATACAAACTATTCAATTTACAAACTACAACTATTTAAAATAACATCATTTACCTGTTTCCTTGAGTTCTCCTGTTCTAACTTCTCCACTCGTTGACTAACAAATCGTTCGAATAGTTCCCGGTGGGGCTAATAATTGTCAAGTAGTCTGAAAAGTTGGTGAAAACCAGGAAAGTGTTCAGTATCATGAGACCACTAAAGGTAATGTAAGCAAAAGCATGTATGACACACACGGGCAGCTGTCCCTGCGGTCAATGACCCTGCTTTCAAAGGGGAAAAAAATCAGTTTCAGTCTGAGTTTTAGTCAAATGGATATTGTTTCATTGCATTGACTCTAAAAGATTGACTCTATATTACACTTTAAATTTAGCTATCAGGTCAAAGAGATTAATGTAATAATGTAACAGGATATTTTCCAGACTATTGCAATGGATTTAATGTAATTTATTGATGCATGGTTTTTAGGCAACATAATCAAGGGTAGAGAAGACGGCGAAAAAACGAAAGAAGCTTCGTAAATAAATTCAAGAACTAAAGGTTCAGTTGAATCCGGAATCAGAAAGACGTGAGACTGACTGGCTGGTCCAGGCCAAGCATGTGGAAAACCATCCGATTCCGGTCCCTGACAGGTCGATCGGTGCATCTTTAGAAGGATATGAAGGTTAAATACACTGTCAGCAATTGATGAATTTTTTCAATAAATTTTACAACAACAACATGTTTTTTATTGTAAATGCAAATGCATGATAGCAAAACATTTATGGATAGTCCAGTCATTTTATTGTAACTACATTGTAGAAGCATTATTTTACAGCCACCGTATAACATTGTGGGATCAATGCTGTTTGAATTTTAATTCTTAGCCAGCAACCTTTCTGTTAATGTTATTAATATTAAAACAGTTTTTGGCTAAGATAAAATGTGATTGAGGTTTACCTGAGCTTATACTGCCTTACCATATTCACAGAGATTCGAAATGCAATGTTAATTGTTATTATGGAAATTGATATATGAAATTCCCATAAATTAAAAAAAAAACATGACGTGTTGGTGATATATTTTGTATAGGCTATATATTAAAATACTCTAACATAGGCTGTATAAAATGAAATGACACAACCATTTCTCTTTTTAATTTATTGACCAAGAATAGCCATTATTAAAGTATAAGTAGTTTAAAAAGTATAAGAAGCTATATAAGTCAAGAAATAAGGCAAGTTAAAAGATTCAGTCATCTTGTAAAAAGGTGCATAATAGGTGCCCTTTAAACTGTTTTGTTTCTCCTGTGTGTGGACATCAGTCGTCAATGAGGGGCTGCTCTGCTGCCTTATATTTTCGTTTTGTATTTGTTCATTTTACTATTAAAATGTTTAATAGTAACATTAGCACAAGCAGCATCAGTCTGCCTCAGCTAGAGCCAGTCCGGGATCCTCGACTGCAAGCACAAGCACAATCAGTCCGCCTTAGCTGGAGTCAGTCCGGGCTTATCTACCGCGACAGGCCGCCGCCTCCGGTTCCTCCATCAGCCTCAGCTGCTCTTCACTATACTGTGGCTCGTAAAGATAGCCACAAACATCGGTTTCGAGCAGCAGAATTTCAAAATCCTCTTCTTCCATATCATGTTTAGTTTCCGTCATTATCATAACTTCCCATCTCCACAGCGCTTGTTAGCTTAGCTTCCAAACAAGATGGCTGTTATAACTTCAGTTTCTGCAAGTGAAGTCCCACCCACTGATCTGTAGGCCTGTGGGGTGAGTGGGTCCCACACCCTTGAATTATTAGAAGCTAAGTTTGTAGTCTCTGTCATTTCAATGAAATGTGACTTCCTGCTTATCATGACGCAAAATGACGATTTTTACATCACAATAAGCAGGAAGTAAAACACTTAAATCCTTATTTCTCCCATCTCAGGGGAAAATAAGTGAATAAACCATGACCATTCAAAAATAAAAAATATGACTGGGTTTCTAAAGATACAAAGCTTAAAGGGTTAGTTCACCTAAAAATGAAAAATGAAAATTAAGTCATTAATTACTCACCCCCATGCTGTTCCAACCCCGTAAGACCTTCGTTCATCTTCGGAACACAAATAAAGATATTTTTTATTGAATCTGAGAGCTAGATCAGTCCTACATAGAATGCCTAAGGGACTGGCTCTTGACGGCCCATAAAGTCATTAAAGAAAAGGTTTAAATATTCCATGTGCCTACAGCGGCTCAATTATAAGTTTATCAAGCGACGAGACTACTTTTTGTGCGAAAAAAACATAAATAACGACTTTATTCCACTATTCCATTACTTCCTTATGGGCGCATGCGCGAGAACTGAGACGAGGACGTTCTCGTTCGTCTACTTTTTGTTACCGGCTGCTCACCGCTTAGGAGTTTTACTGCTCCCTACCGTATAAAATGATGATCCATATATAAGGCGCTCTGGATTATAAGGAACACTGTCGTTTTTTGAGAAGATTAAAGGCTTTTAAGTGCACAGCGCGCATCTTCCTCTGCTTGTAAACAGAAAGTTTTGCGCTTCCAGCTATATCAGCACATCATCTTATACGGTAGGTGGCGGTAAAACTCCTAAGCGGTGAGCAGCCGGTAACAAGAAGTAGACGAATGAGAACGTCCTCGTCTCAGTTCTCGCGCATGTGCCCATAAGGAAGTAATGGAATAGTGGAATAAAGTCATTATTTATGTTTTTTTCGCACAAAAAGTAGTCTCGTCGCTTGATAAACTTATAATTGAGCCGCTGTAGGCACATGGAATATTTAAACCTTTTCTTTAATGACTTTATGGGCCGTCAAGAGCCAGTCCCTTAGGCATTCTATGGAAGAGTGATCCAGCTCTCAGATTCAATCAAAAATATCTTTATTTGTGTTCCGAAGATGAACGAAGGTCTTACGGGGTTGGAACAGCATGGGGGTGAGTAATTAATGACTTAATTTTCATTTTTGGGTGAACTAACCCTTTAATGAAAATGGGTGAAGTGTCCCTTTAATAACAGATGATTCTATCACACGTCCTTATTCACTGTGTGTGTGTGTGTGTGTGTAGAGAGAGAGATAGTAGACCTACTTTAGATCTTACTGAATCATATAAGCCTATTTTATATTTTATTTGTCATACTTTAAGGGTAAAGGAATTTATTCAATGGACAAATCAAACACAAATGTGTAATGTCATTCAGCGTACGTTTGAATCGGAATATATAAATAGTACGAAGAGAGTCCGACAGAATAAACACAAATGAGAATGGACCAGTTTGTCTCGGTATGGTTATTTGATACATTCATGTACTTATAGAGTTGTAATTGCGTCTTTTTGCAAGTATGGATGTGCAACACACACACACACACACACACACAGAAATGGTGAGCTACTGGTGAAAGAGATATCCATGATGACCCAGTGAAGTGCTTGGTATCCAGTGCAGGTGAAGAATCCAGACGAGACAAAATACACAGGGAATCCACAATCCAACACGAGCACGATCCACATGAACACACCGGGGAAAATGATCTGACAACATGAGACACCAATGACTGGGCTTATAAAGGGACAAACGGATTGAAACCAGCTGGCGCTGCTGATCAGCAGTGATCAGTGACCACGCCCACAGACACACAAACAACAGCACGCGAGACGAGAGAGACAGTGAATTCATGAACCGTGACAAAATTGCATTTATGCGAGGGACCTGTGGCGTCACGTTTACTTGTCATACAGGTGCTTCTGTGGCAAATGTGAGGAGATGGCTAACTTACAGAACAAGAACATATATATATATGCAGCTCACAAAGTGGAGGTGGTAAAATCCTAATAATGTTTGTATTTTAAGTATTTTTATAATAATAATAGTATTTTGTATTTTTCGAAAACTATCATAAAGCTACATTGTTTCCCACAGTATTGTGTGTGTGGTGTGAACCTCTGCACCCAGGGGGTCCGGGGGCATGCTCCCCCTGAAGAAAAGTTTGCACGTTTGAAAGATAAAATTAATAAATCTTGAAAGTTCAAAATTAATTGATTAACTAATTTAGTGTCTAAAATGAGCCTGTTCTGTAGTAGGCTACACATATTTTCTGAGCCACAGACGGAGAGCACAACTATTCAGCCACATAATGTTTTCAACCACATAAAGTTTATTTTAGGTTTCAGACATTTAAATCCACATAAGTAAGTTACTAAAAAAGCAATACATTTGTTTGCTTTTTGTCAAATACAGACTTATGCCTATGCAAGCGGCAATAATAATTATTTCCATAATAATTAGACAACACGTATTATTCATATCAAATACACATCGTGTAAGTAACTTTCGAGTTTACTCTATGCCTCTACCAGTTCACCGGCCACTTACTTTCATGTATTTCGGGAGAAGTAGATAAACAGACGTTCGTTAAATCCAGATCCGATTCTCTAAAATGCGGCAAAAACTAACGTCTGCGTATAGCTCAAATAAGGTGTTAAACAACAATACATATCCACTTGCTCATATTTGACAATCGGAATATCAGATATTTCCTGCTATGGTCAACAAATTTGTGAAATAAATGCAGATAATCAGTCATTCAGCTATGGACTCTATGCACGGAGGTATTTCCGGTGAAGATGTAAGGATGCTCGATAACTTCCGCCGATCATAGAGTCCAATGCAATACCGAGAATTTATATTGAATTTTATACTCCATGGTTATACTAAAGAAACGACACCCCTCGTTGTGTTTATGCCTCTTTTTAAAATTCTATTAAATAAACATAACTATATATAAAATTACATACTAAAATTACTTACTAAACGTATGTATGTTTCGTTTCAAAGAAGGGAGGACAGTAAATTTTGAAGACTCTGTCATAATCCCGTTTTCCTCGGTTTTCCTTCGCTTTAATCTCCACAACCGGAAATGGACGAGCATCCTTGCGTCAAATGCGGAATTTATGCGTGCATATAGCCCATTGTGTCTGCGGTGTGACCATACTGTCTGGGTGTGACAAGCAATGACGCGTCACCATGGAAACCATAAAGGGAGACAATCTAAATAACGAGTGCTTCTAAAAACTTTAAAACTTACGTGTTAAAAGGTTAAGGCTTACATTTAAATGTGTCATCATTTCGTTTTGAGTTTATGCTCGATAAATAAAGTAACTAATAGAGTTAGATAAAATTACCACATTTTCTCCTGCCCCACACTTTGAGAAAGACCGTTTTAGAGTGTCAC